AAAAGAAGAAATAGGAGAAGGAGAAATAGAAGAAAGAGGAGGAGGAGGAGGAGGAGGAGGAGGAGAAATAAAAGAAGAAATAGGAGGAGAAGGAGGAGAAGGAGAAATAGAAGAAAGAGGAGAAGGAGGAGGAGGAGGAGGAGGAGGAGGAGGAGAAGAAATAGAAGAAATAGGAGGAGGAGGAGGAGGAGGAGGAGGAGGAGGAGGAGGAGGAGGAGAAATAAAAGAAGAAATAGAAGAAGGAGAAGGAGAAGAAAAAGAAATAATAATCCGACACTGATCAGGGCTTTGGTTAAGGCCGGTCCGGGTCTCCGGTTTCTCTACCGCAGCCCAGGGACGAACCCAGGGAAGGCGCTTTGGTTTCTCAGCCATGGCTTCGAGCACCTGCTTGCTTGCCTGAGGGCAGCCCCTGCCCTGACCAGGCCCAGGTGGGGCCCTCCAGAGGCCAGGCGAGGAGGGCAGGCTGGCCTCTCCAGAAGGGCCTCTGGGCCAGGACTGTCCGGGTCTCCTTGCGCCCCCCCCCCCACCTGCAGCTCCCAAGGGCCGGACTCCTCTTCTGCTCAAGCAGCCCCCACCCCCCCGAGGGCGGCTGCTCCACTTCCGGTCCACGGAGGCGCGGTGTACCGAGTCCAGGGACGGGCGAGGCAGAAATCGGCTGGTGAGTCCAGGCCCGTCGTCCGTTTGCGAAGGCCTCTTCTCCGGGACAGGGAGGGTCTGGCCGTGGCGAAGCACCGCGAGGCTCCTGCTGGCAGAAGGGCGTAGGCTGGATTCATGAAAGGATGTGGCACTGGGCAGGATCCCCCTGGCGAGGCCTCGGCGGGCACCAAGAGCTCCCGGCCTTCCAGACGCTTCTGGGCGTGAAAAGCTCCTGAAGCAGAAGGGCACTGGGGGGTGGGGAGGGGAGGGGGGGGGAAAAAAGGCCCAGTTCTCTTTAGTGCTTAGGAGGCAACCAAGGACGGGGAAGGGGAAGGGGAAGAGGAAAGGGGAGGCTATCCACCCCCCACCCGCTGCCCAGTCAGTCCTCCTCGCCCCCCGTGCACAGGAGCCGCCTTCCAAAGGCTCCGACAGGCACCCAGAGGCCAAGAGCCCCCACGACAAAG